GTGACCTAGAAAATTTGGCACTGCTGTGAATAGTTTAGCCGCAAAATGAACATTCACGGGTAAAAAGCTCGAACACAAACGTTCACTCATTTCTGTCTTGATAACAATATTATTGATATATTGAGCATTCTTTGATTCAAGCCTGGTTATTTATGAGGACGCAGTTTGTCCCGACCGTGTTCATGTATCATATCCGTGCTGTATTTTTCACCTTCCTCTTTTCATTCCCTCAATTAAATACGTGTAGGTCGATTTTAGATGAGGTATTCAGCATGCTGCCAGTTTGGAGAAAATTCAGTTCTACATTATTTTAACTAAGTCTTAATATCTCACACATTCACATCTAGCATTGGCTTAGACTTCCGTACACTGCTCATTTGTATTATCATTATTGTTTGCATCCTCATATTGATGCTGGATGCTGAGTCCCGAGTTCTGCTTATGCTGGATGGCTTTCATGAGAGGAGCCATAGGAGTAAACATCCACATAGTTCACTGATTACCTGTGCATTAGAGTGGATTCACCTTTCTTATCCTGGGCTTTTCTGTGTGTGTGTGTGTGTGTGTGTGTGTGTTTGTGTGTGTGTGTGTGTGTGTGTGTGTTTGTGTGTGTACGTGTGTGCAGCGTTGCAAGCTGTTGAATGGTCAATCCCAGCACAAGCTGCTATGACTTCTGCTGTAGCATCGCTATCATCGCCTCTGGCGAAGGGCGTCAAATGGTCAAAATGGTCAAATGGTGTGTGTGTGTGTGTGTGTGTGTGTATGTGTGTATGTGTGTATGTGTGTGCGCATTCTTGGGTGCGTGCGTGCATCCATCCACACATGCATGTGCATGTGACTTGGTAGGTTGCCGACTGAAGACTATACAAATTAATGACTCACACTGCACTGGACGCGCCAAGTGGAGGAAGGGTGTTTGTTGGGGGGGGGGGGGGGAGGCATCTTTGTACCTGTTTGGTCGGATCATCACATGTACAGAGTGCTACGCGCCTACGCAGCATTTCGCTAGCCATACACGTAGCCTGGGCTATGCTATCTTAGGTCTTACTGGACCAGCAGCTAGATGCACGCTGTAACCCCCCCCCCCCCCCCCCCTCCGCCTCGAATGATAATGATTATGTACTGACACTGTGTTAGTACTGTAGCTGCGCTCGCTGGTATTTTCCTTCAGTGCTTCACTTCTGTTCAGACCCCAGACCCAGTCACCAGGTCACCATTGCCATTGGCCACGTCACGTGCACGGCGATCACCATGATCACTGCACTGCGGAAGCGTTTCTTTTGACGCGCGCAGGAGATCACCGTCAGTAAAATAATGGTAATGACTATGTACGTACATGTACATGACTTGTTACCTGTCAGTGATGGTAGATCTATGCCAATGGTGGCCAAACACACTTCCGGTCTTTGCAGAACTCAGTTGTCTACCGGATGCCATGGGCATTGTGTAGATCTACACTAGATAGCGCTGCGAGTAGAACTACCAATGCCTGGAGAAGATCCACATCTACATGATCTGGCCAAGCGAGCTGACCTCGCAGAACTCACAGACTCAGTACAGAGTCAGTGGCAGCAAGGAAACACACTGGCGCGCAAAACCTTCCCGTGCTGCATCATGCATGATCATGATGATGGTATTCCCGCGTTGCACAGCTAGCTAGCCTACACTACACAGACAGTCTACCATACAGTCAGGATATGCAGATCGTCCTGATGCAGAAATCTCCCACAGACTGACTGTGGAAGAGGGAGTAGAGGCGATGCCTGCAATCACTATAATTGTCGTTGTGTGTTATGTCTCCAACCAGACTAGATCATCCTGTGTATCTACACAACACGTGTTGTTCCCGTAACGCAAGTTAGAATATTTGCACAATCTTACTATTTGCCTCTGAATCTAACTTCTATGGGATTAGAACGATATTGTCAGAGCAGGATAGTTTGTAGCAGTTTGTAGCAAGCGGCGCACATGGTCCGTAAATAGCTTAGCTACGAAGGGAATGCAGCAGCTGACAATTATTTCTACGTTACACTGCCACAACCGTTCAAGGTGAGAGAGATATTTTCCGTCTGCTCCTTATCGACTCGGACTTGGGAGAAATGGGAGGTCGAAGAATAGCCATGCAAGTACAGCACTGGGCATGCCGCTAATATCAATTTTATTACACAGTAACAATCATTATCGCATTCTTAGTATTTGACCCCACTGATTTACCTGATACCTAAGAGGTCAAATACCGGTATATCGCATATTGGACTGCTTAGTCAAATACGCAGTTATACTTGACTGTTAATAGTTGACTGCTTAGAACCTCTTGGACACATACATTGTCTCTTCAACTTAGAAAAAGAAAAATTTCAACAAAGCAGATGTACACAAGAGGGGATTCAACCCACGACCATGTGAATGTCAGGCACTCTTCCCTGCAACCCAGCCACTGTGCTACCGATGCTGAACCTAGTGTAAACAATGGCCTTGATCCTGCAATGCCGTACAATGTGGTATAGGTTATATTATTACTAAAATTGAAAGGATATGTCGCATATGAAGAGAAACCTTGCGTGGAGTATACCTGGTATACGATAAATAGATTATAGACCTGATAGTTGATTTGATTTTTGGTTTGCTTGTAGGGCGCTGGCATCCTCATTCAGTGACCCAGAAAATTTGGCACTGCTGTGAACAGTTTGGTTGCAAAGTGAAGATTCACGGGTACCAAGCCCTAAACTTGGAGATAGGTTATTATTCAGCTTGCAGCAGCCCTGGGCGAGTTCTTTAGAGATATGTGACTGTTTTTCTTGGTGCCCTTGTCTATGTCCAGCTACACAACGAGATGAGGATGGTCATTTTCATTTTGTGAGCTGCGAACGGGCAGAAAGTTGAGAAAATGTCGGATTTTGACCATTTGTGCTCATCTTTGAATTTCAACGTACCTCTCTATAACATGACCCAGCTGTAATGTCAGTGGTCGCATTGGTTTGATTTTTGGATTGCTTGTACAAGTAGGGCGCTGGCACCCAAATTCAGTGACCCAGAAAATTTGGCACTGCTGTGAACAGTTTAGTCGCAAAGTGAAGATTCACGGGTACCAAGCCCTAAACTTGGAGATAGGTTATTATTCAGCTTCCAACAGCCCTGGGCGAGTTCTTTAGAGATATGTGACTGTTTTTCTTGGTGCCCTTGTCTATGTCCAGCTACACAACGAGATGAGGATGGTCATTGTCATTTTCTGAGCTGCGAACGGGCAGAAAGGTGAGAAAATGTCGGATTTTGACCATTTGTGCTCATCTTTGAATTTCAACGTACCTCTCTATAACATGAGCCAGCTGTAATGTCAGTGGTCGCATTGGTTTGATTTTTGGTTTGCTTGTAGGGCGCTGGCACCCCCATTCAGTGACCCAGAAAATTTGGCACTGCTGTGAATAGTTTAGTCGCAAAGTGAAGATTAACGGGTAAAAGCCTCAAACTTGGAGATAGGTTATTATTCAGCTTTCAGCAGCCCTGGGCGAGTTCTTTAGAGATATGTGACTGTTTTTCTGGGTGCCCTTGTCTATGTCCAGCTACACAACGAGATGAGGATTGTCTTTATCAATTTCTGAGCTGAGAACGGGCATAAAGGTGAGAAAATGTTGGATTTTGACCATTTGTGCTCACCTTTGAATTTCAACGTACCTCTCTATAACATGACCCAGCTGTAATATGAGTGGTCGCATTGATTTGATTTTTGGTTTGCTTGTAGGGCGCTGGCAGCCACATTCAGTGACCCAGAAAATTTGGCACTGCTGTGAATATGTTAGCCGGAAAGTGAAGATTCACGGGTAAAAAGCCCCAAACTTTCAGATAGGTTATTATATAGCTATCAGCAGCCCTGGGCGAGTTCTTTAGAGAAATGTGGCTCTTTTTCTTGGTGCCCTTGTCCGTGTCCAGCTACACAACGAGATGAGGATAGTCTTTGTCAATTTCTGAGCTTTGAACGGGCAGAAAGTTGAGAAAATGTCGGATTTTGACCATTTGTGCTCACCTTTGAATTTCAACGTGCCTCTCTATCACATGAGCCAGCTGTAATGTCAGTGGTCGCATTGGTTTGATTTTTGGTTTGTTTGTAGGGCGCTGGCACCCACATTCAGTGACCGAGAAATTTTGGCACTGCTGTGAATAGTTTAGTCGCAAAGTGAAGATTCACGGGTAGCAAGTCCTAAACTTGGAGATAGGTTATTATTCAGCTATCAGCAGCCCTGGGCGAGTTCTTTAGAGAAACGTGGCTCTTTTTCTTGGTGCCCTTGTCTATGTCCAGCTACACAACGAGATGAGGATGGTCATTGTCATTTTCTGAGCTGCGAACGGGCATAAAGGTGAGAAAATGTCGGATTTTGACCATTTGGGCTCAACTTTGAATTTCAACGTACCCCTCTATAACATGAGCCAGCTGTAATGTCAGTGGTCGCATTGGTTTGATTTTTGGTTTGCTTGTAGGGCGCTGACACCCACATTCAGTGACCCAGAAATTTTGGCACTGCTGTGAATAGATTAGTCACAAAGTGAAGATTCACTGGTAAAAAGCCCCAAACTTGGAGATAGGTAATTATTCAGCTTTCAGCAGCCCTGGGCGAGTTGTTTAGAGAAATGCGGGTCTTTTTCTGGGTGCCCTTGTCTATGTCCAGCTAGACAACGAGATGAGGATTGTCTTTGTCAATTTCTGAGCTGCGAACAGGCATAAAGGTGAGAAAATGTCGGATTTTGACCAGTTGGTCTCACTTTCCAATTTCAACCTACCTCTTTATAACATGAGCCAGCTGTAATGTCAGTGGTCCCATTGGTTTGATTTTTGGTCTGCTTGTAGGGCGCTGGCACCCACATTCAGTGACCCAGAAATTTTGGCACTGCTGTGAATAGTTTAGTCGCAAAGTGAAGATTCAAGGTGTTAGGTACCTCCTCGCGTACCTTTTCTAGCTGGCCTGCATGCACTTGCGCACTCACCTTTTGTCTCCTTTTGTTCCATAAGCCTGGGTAGCTACTTGCGCGCCCATATTTGCCATAGCTACCCAGGCCCTTTATCTTGCCGTTCAGACTTGCTCTCTTTTCTCACTCTTCGATGTAGTTGTTTCGTTCGTTTTGTCTCGTCGTCTATAATAAAGTTCCCCCAACCTACCTGTTCCGGTTGTAATGTCTGGATAATGTGTCGTCAGTCGTCCTTTTCCCGTTTCAACATTGGCGCCCGATTCTTGATCGACCCACGACCCTGAGATCATCCCATGCCCAGTCGTCCTCAACCGCCATTCGTCTCGTCTATGTCAACCTCGTCTCGTCCATGTCAGTCTCGTCTCTCCTACGCCAACTTCGTCTTGTTTCTATCAACCTCGTCTCTCCTACGCCAACCTCGTCTCGTCGATGTCAACCTCGTGTCGTTCAAGCCATGCAGGTCAGCTACCTTTCTCTCTTTCTCTTTTTTGTATGCGTTCCTTCTTCGTCAAATTTATTTTCGTGAATTTTTTGTAGTGTGTGTGCGCGCGGGTGTCCTTCATTAATACTAGGGGTCCGATCATGGTGAGCCACGCTCTCTTATTTATGTCGTATATTAAAGTGTAACTAGGCTCTATTAGCCGTGCAAAATACTAGTCATCAGAATACAATTCAAGTCCCTCGTCGAACTCCAATAGTTATTTTTTGTGCCATGTTTTGAAGGGGCGTTTGGGCCCGTTGTTATTGGCAATGTACACACTATAGTATGAGTAGTACAGGAACGTTGACGGTTGTAATGATCTGTAGTGCATTTTTTAGTACACACTTTTGTGAGGCCCGTGCGTTGTGTGTGTGTTTTTTTCTCCTTAGTCATTTTTTTAAAATCTTTTTCTCTCTTTTTTCTCTCCGCGAGGACACGGGATTTTTTTTCATGGAGGGGTGGTATGTTAGGTACCTCCTCCCGTACCTTTTCTAGCTGGCCTGCATGCACTTGCGTACTCACCTTTTGTCTCCTTTTGTTCCATTGGCCTGGGTAGCTACTTGCGCGCCCATATTTGCCATAGCTACCCAGGCCCTTTATCTTGCCGTTCAGACCTGCTCTCTTTTCTCACTCTTCGATGTAGTCGTTTCGTTCATCTTGTCTCGTCGTCTATAATAAATGTCGTTCCCCCAACCTACCTGTTCCGGTTGTAATGTCTGGATAATGTGTCGTCAGCCGTCCTTTTTCGAATTCAACAAAGGGTACCAAGCCCTAAACTTGGATAGGTTATTTTTCAGCTTTCAGCAGCCCTGGGCGAGTTCTTTTGAGAAATGTGACTGTTTTTCTTTGTGCACTTGTCTATGTCCAGCTACACAACGAGATGAGGATGGTCATTTTCATTTTGGGAGCTGCGAACAGGCGTGAAGGTGAGAAAATGTCGGATTTTGACCAGTTGGTCTCACCTTCCAATTTCAACGTACCTCTCTATAACATGAGCCAGCTTTAACCCTTTCAGTGCCAAGGGGGTCAGAAAAATTCAAAATTTTCTGAGTTGAGCTGAACTCAAATTTTTCGTAGCTAAGCTGTATATCCACGGATCTTTACAAACGATGGCTCTCTGGAAAGATATCATGGCCAGGCAGACAGCTGTGAAGAGAATATGCATGGGTTGCCGCGAAAGAAATAGAGAAACCCGCGATGCGCATACGTCATGTTTTCTACGGGCGACAATTGTTTGTCCGAGCGCACGCGCTTCAAGCTTCGCCCTGGCGATATCTATCCTCACGGACACAAAACGATGTGATGAGTCGATAGCCAAGGTCTTCCTGAACACGTAGAGTGGTCGTTTGTAACTCTCCTGTGTGTAGAAGTGGAGATACGAATTTATTTGTACACACATACTCATTTTGGGCGACTAAAGTCGCCCGTCGCACTGAAAAGGTTAATGTCAGAGGTCGCATTGGTTTGATTTTTGGTTTGCTTGTAGGACGCTGGCCCCCACATTCAGTGACCCATAAATTTTTGCACTGCTGTGAATAGTTTAGTCGCAAAGTGAAGATTCACGGGTACAAAGCTCTAAACTTGGACATAGGTTATTATTCAGCTTTCAGCAGCCCTGGGCGAGTTCTTTAGAGAAATGTGGGTCTTTTTCTGGGTGCCCTTGTCTATGTCCAGCTACACAACGAGATGATGATTGTCTTTGTCAATTTGTGAGCTGCGAACAGGAATAAAGGTGAGAAAATGTCGGATTTTGACCAGTTGGTCTCACCTTCCAATTTCAACGTACCTCTCTATAACATGAGCCAGCTTTAATGTCAGTGGTCGCATCGGTTTGATTTTTGGTTTGCGTGTAGGGCGCTGGCACCCACATTCCGTGACCCAGAAAATGTGGCACTGCTGTGAATAGTTTAGTCGCAAAGTGAAGATTCACGAGTAAAAAGCCCCAAACTTGGAGATAGGTTATTATTCATCTATCAGCAGCCCTGGGCGAGTTCTTTAGAGAAATGTGGCTCTTTTTCTTGGTGCCCTTGTATATGTCCAGCTACACAACGAGCTGAGGATTGTCATTGTCAATTTCTGAGCTGCGAACGGGCAGAAAGGTGAGAAAATGTCGGATTTTGACCATCTGTGCTCACCTTCCAATTTCAATGTACCTCTCTATAACATGAGCCAGCTGTAATATCAGTGGTCGCATTGGTTTGATTTTTGGTTTGGTTGTAGGGCGCTAGCACCCACATTCAGTGACCCAGAAATATTGGCACTGCTGTGAATTGGTTAGTCGCAAAGTGAAGATTCACGGGTACCGAACCCTAAATTTGGAGATAGGTTATTATTCAGCTTTCAGCAGCCCTGGACGAGTTCTTTAGAGAAATGTGACTGTTTTTCTTGGTGCCCTTGTCTATGTCCAGCTACACAACGGGATAAGGACTGTCTTTGTCAATTTCTGAGCTTCGAACAGGCATGAAGGTGAGAAAATGTCGGATTTTGACCATTTGTGCTCACCTTCCAATTTCAACGTACCTCTCTATAACATGAGCCAGCTGTAATGTCAGTGGTCGCATTGGTTTGATTTTTGGTTTGCGTGTAGGGCGCTGGCACCCACATTCAGTGACCCATTAAATTTTGCACTGCTGTGAATAGTTTAGTCGCAAAGGGAAGATTCACGGGTAAAAAGCCCCAAACTTTGAGATAGGTTATTATTTAGCTTTCAGCAGCTCTGGGCGAGTTCTTTAGAGAAATGTGACTGTTTTTCTTGGTGCCCTTGTCTATGTCCAGCTACACAACGAGATGAGTATTGTCTTTGTCAATTTCTGAGCTGAGAACAGTCATAAAGGTGAGAAAATGTCGGATTTTGACCATTTATGCTCACCTTCCAATTTCAACGTACCTCTCTATAACATGAGCCAGCTGTAATGTCAGTGGTCGCATCGGTTTGATTTTTGGTTTGCTTGTCGGGCGCTGGCACCCACATTCAGTGACCCAGAAATTTTGGCACTGCTGTGAATAGTTTAGTCGCAACGTGAAGATTCATGGGTACGAAGCCCTAAACTTGGAGATAGGTTATTATTCAGCTTTCAGCAGCCCTGGGCGGGTTCTTTAGAGAAATGTGACTGTTTGTCTTGTTGCCCTTGCCTATGTCCAGCTACACAACCAGATGAGGATGGTCATTTTCATTTTGTGAGCTGTGAACGGGCAGAAAGGTGAGAAAATGTCGGATTTTGACCATTTGTGCTCACCTTCCAATTTCAACGTACCTCTCTATAACATGAGCCAGCTGTAATGTCAGTGGTCGCATTGGTTGAATTTTTGGTTTGCTTGTAGGGCGCTGGCACCCAAATTCAGTCACCCATAAAATTAGGCACTGCTGTGAAAAGTTTAGTCGCAAAGTGAAGATTTACGGGTAAAAGCCCCAAACTCTGAGATAGGTTATTATTCATCTATCAGCAGCCCTGGGCGAGTTCTTTAGAGATATGTGGGTCTTTTTCTGGGAGCCCTTGTCTATGTCCAGCTACACAACGAGATGAGGGTGGTCATTGTCATTTTCTGAGCTGCGAACGGGCAGAAAGGGGAGAAAACGTCGGATTTTGACCATTTGGTCTCAACTTTGAATTTCAACGTACCTTTCTATGACATGAGCCAGCTGTAATGTCAGTGGTCGCATTGGTTTGATTTTTGGTTTGCTTGTAGGGCGCTGGCACCCACATTCAGTGACCCAGAAAATTTGGCACTGCTGTGAATAGTTTAGTCGCAAAGTGAAGATTCACGGGTACCAAGCCCTAAACTTGGAGATAGGTTATTATTCAGCTTTCAGCAGGCCTGGGCGAGTTCTTAAGAGATATGTGACTGTTTTTTTTGGTGCTCTTGTCTATGTCCAGCTACAAAACGAGATGAGGATTGTATTTGTAAATTTCCGAGCTGCGAACAGGCATAAAGGTGAGAAAATATCGGATTTTGACCATTTGTGCTCACCTTCCAATTTCAACGTACCTCTCTATAACATGAGCCAGCTGTAATGTCAGTGGTCGCATTGGTTTGATTTTTGGTTTGCTTGTAGGGCGCTGGCACCCACATTCAGTGACCTATAAAATCTTAGTTTAGTTGCAAAGTGAAGATTCACGGGTAAAAAGCCCCAAACTTTGAGATAAGTTATTATTCAGCTTTCCGCAGCCCTGGGCGAGTTCTTTAGAGAAATGTGGCTCTTTTTCATGGTGCTATTTTCTATTTCCAGCTACACAACGAGATGAGGATGTTCATTGTCATTTTCTGAGCTGCGAACGGGCAGAAAGGTGAGAAAATGTCGGATTTTGACCATTTGTGCTGACCTTTCAATTTCAACGTACCTCTCTATAACATGACCCAGCTGTAATGTCAGTGGACGCATTGATTTGATTTTTGGTTTGCTTTTAGGGCGCTGGCACCCGCATTCATTGACCTAGAAAATTTGGCACTGCTGTGAATAGTTTAGTCGCAAAGTGAAGATATACGGGTAATAAGCCCCAAACTTCTAGATAGGTTCTTTTTCAGCTTTCAGCAGCCCTGGGCGAGTTCTTTAGAGAAATGTGGGTATTTTTGTTGGTGCTCTTGTCTATGTCCAGCTACACAACGACATGAGGATGGTCATTGTCATTTTCTGAGCTGCAAACGGGCAGAAAGGTGAGAAAATGTCGGATTTTGACCATTTGTGCTGACCTTTTAATTTCAATGTACCTCTCTATAACATGACCCAGCTGTAATGTAAGTGGTCGTATTGATTTGATTTTTGGTTTGCTTTTAGAGCGCTGGCACCCGCATTCATTGACCCAGAAAATTTGGCACTGCTGTGAATAGTTTAGTCGCAAAGTGAAGATTCACGGGTAAAAAGCCCCAAACTTCTAGATAGGTTCTTTTTCAGCTTTCAGCAGCCCTGGGCGAATTCTTTAGAGAAATGTGACTCTTTTTCATGGTACTCTTGTCTATGTCCAGCTACACAACGAGATGAGGATGTTCATTGTCATTTTCTAAGCTGCGAACGGGCAGAAAGGTGAGAAAATGTCGGATTTTGACCATTTGTGCTGACCTTTCAATTTCAACGTACCTCTCTATAACATGATCCAGCTGTAATGTCAGTGGTCGCATTGCTTTCATTTTTGGTTTGCTTGTAGGGCGCTGGCACCCACAATCAGTGACCCTAAAAATTTAGCACTGCTGTGAATAGTTTAGTCGCAAAGTGAAGATTCATGGGTAAAAAGCCCCAAACTTCTAGATAGGTTCTTTTTCAGCTTTCAGCAGCCCTGGGCGAGTTCTTTAGAGAAATGTGACTCTTTTTCATGGTGCTCTTGTCTATGTCCAGCTAACCAACGAGATGAGGATGGTCATTGTCATTTTCTAAGCTGCGAACGGGCAGGAAGGTGAGAAAATGTCGGATTTTGACCATTTGTGCTGACCTTTCAATTTCAACGTACCTCTCTATAACATGACCCAGCTGTAATGTCAGCGGTCACATTGGTTTCATTTTTGGTTTGCTTGTAGGGCGCTAGCACCCACAATCAGTGACCCTAAAAATTTGGCACTGCTGTGAATAGTTTAGTCGCAAAGTGAAGATTCATGGGTAAAAAGCCCCAAACTTCTAGATAGGTTCTTTTTCAACTTTCAGCAGCCCTGGGCGAGTTCTTTAGAGAAATGTGGCTCTTTTTCATGGTGCTCTTGTCTATGTCCAGCTAACCAACGAGATGAGGATGGTCATTGTCATTTTCTAAGCTGCGAACGGGCAGGAAGGTGAGAAAATGTCGGATTTTGACCATTTGTGCTGACCTTTCAATTTCAACGTACCTCTCTATAACATGACCCAGCTGTAATGTCAGCGGTCACATTGGTTTCATTTTTGGTTTGCTTGTAGGGCGCTAGCACCCACAATCAGTGACCCTAAAAATTTGGCACTGCTGTGAATAGTTTAGTCGCAAAGTGAAGATTCATGGGTAAAAAGCCCCAAACTTCTAGATAGGTTCTTTTTCAACTTTCAGCAGCCCTGGGCGAGTTCTTTAGAGAAATGTGGCTCTTTTTCATGGTGCTCTTGTCTATGTCCAGCTACACAACGAGATGAGGATGGTCATTGTCATTTTCTGAGCTGCGAACGGGCAGAAAGGTGAGAAAATGTCGGATTTTGACCATTTGTGCCGACCTTTCAATTTCAACGTACCTCCCTATAACATGACCCAGCTGTAATTTCAGTGGTCGCATTGGTTTAATTTTTGGTTTGCTTGTAGGGCGCTGGCAGCCGCATTCAGTGATCCAGAAAATTTGGCACTGCTGTGAATAGTTTAGTCGCTAAGTGAAGATTCACGGGTAAAAAGCCCCAAACTTCTAGATAGGTTCTTTTTCAGCTTTCAGCAGCCCTGGGCGAGTTCTTTAGAGAAATGTGACTCTTTTTCATGGTACTCTTGTCTATGTCCAGCTAACCAACGAGATGAGGATGGTCATTGTCATTTTCTAAGCTGCGAACGGGCAGAAAGGTGAGAAAATGTCGGATTTTGACCATTTGTGCTGACCTTTCAATTTCAACGTACCTCTCTATAACATGACCCAGCTGTAATGTCAGCGGTCGCATTGCTTTCATTTTTGGTTTGCTTGTAGGGCGCTGGCACCCACAATCAGTGACCCTAAAGATTTGGCACTGCTGTGAATAGTTTAGTCGCAAAGTGAAGATTCATGGGTAAAAAGCCCCAAACTTCTAGATAGGTTCTTTTTCAACTTTCAGCAGGCCTGGGCGAGTTCTTTAGAGAAATGTGGCTCTTTTTCATGGTGCTCTTGTCTATGTCCAGCTACACAACGAGATGAGGATGGTCATTGTCATTTTCTGAGCTGCGAACGGGCAGAAAGGTGAGAAAATGTCGGATTTTGACCATTTGTGCCGACCTTTCAATTTCAACGTACCTCCCTATAACATGACCCAGCTGTAATTTCAGTGGTCGCATTGGTTTCATTTTTGGTTTGCTTGTAGGGCGCTGGCAGCCGCATTCAGTGACCCAGAAAATTTGGCACTGCTGTGAATAGTTTAGTCGCAAAGTGAAGATTCACGGGTAAAAAACCCAAACTTCTAGATAGGTTCTTTTTCAGCTTTCAGCAGCCCTGGGTGAGTTCTTCAGAGAAATGTGGCTCTTTTTCATGGTGCTCTTGTCTATGTCCAGCTAACCAACGAGATGAGGATGGTCATTGTCATTTTCTAAGCTGCGAACAGGCAGGAAGGTGAGAAAATGTCGCATTTTGACCATTTGTGCTGACCTTTCAATTTCAACGTACCTCTCTATAACATGACCCAGCTGTAATGTCAGCGGTCACTTAGGTTTCATTTTTGGTTTGCTTGTAGGGCGCTAGCACCCGCATTCAGTGACCCAGAAAATTTGGCACTGCTGTGAATAGTTTAGTCGCAAAGTGAATATTCACGGGTAAAAAGCCCCAAACTTCTAGATAGGTTCTTTTTCAACTTTCAGCAGCCCTGGGCGAGTTCTTTAGAGAAATGTGGCTCTTTTTCATGGTGCTCTTGTCTATGTCCAGCTACACAACGAGATGAGGATGGTCATTGTCATTTTCTGAGCTGCGAACGGGCAGAAAGGTGAGAAAATGTCGGATTTTGACCATTTGTGCTGACCTTTCAATTTCAACGTACCTCTCTATAACATGACCCAGCTGTAATTTCAGTGGTCGCATTGGTTTAATTTTTGGTTTCCTTGTAGGGCGCTGGCACCCGCATTCAGTGACCCAGAAAATTTGGCACTGCTGTGAATAGTTTAGTCGCAAAGTAAAAGATTCATGGGTAAAAAGCCCCAAACTTCTAGACGGGTTCTTTTTCAGCTTTCAGCAGCCCTGGGCGAGTTCTTTAGAGAAATGTGACTCCTTTACATTGTGCTCTTGTCTATGTCCAGCTAACCAACGAGATGAGGATGGTCATTGTCATTTTCTAAGCTGCGAACGGGCAGAAAGGTGAGAAAATGTCGGATTTTGACCATTTGTGCTGACCTTTTAATTTCAACGTACCTCTCTATAACATGACCCAGCTGTAATGTAAGTGGTCGTATTGATTTGATTTTTGGTTTGCTTTTAGGGCGCTGGCATCCGCATTCATTGACCCAGAAAATTTGGCACTGCTGTGAATAGTTTAGTCGCAAAGTGAAGATTCACGGGTAAAAAGCCCCAAATTTCTAGATAGGTTCTTTTTCAGCTTTCA